CTCTCTCTCTCTCTCTCTCTCTCTCTCTCTCTCTCTCTCTAACATTACAGCAATAGCTCTCAGCTACTGCTCCAGAACCTGTCTGCATGTTTCATTGCTCCTCGAAATGATGATAATGGCCTAAATCTCTGAAACTATAAGGAAGTCCCTAATTAAATGTGTTGTCTTATAATAGGTGCCTTGGTCTTAATGTCTATTCATAGCACTAGAACAATGACTAATGCACCTTCTTCGTGAATTATCTTTGGTTTTATTTTGCTCTTGTAAGAGTAGAATCTAGGGCCTGTATATGCTAGGCAAGTGCCTACGAATGAACTGCATCCTCAGCGTTTGAGCTTATTTATTACAAGTCTGCTCACATTGAAAATAACTATTGTTCAAATAAACATTGATGCGGTCATTTTTCAGGATTGACAGTAGCACATAATCCTGCAATTCAGACTATACAATGTTCATAAGAAAAAAAAATTAAATCCATAAAAATCTGTACTCAAAAGACATTAGTAGATTTTCCTCTTTGGTTTTCCTAATGCTGAGACAAACACTGTGACAAAAAGCCACTTGGGGAGAAAAGGTTTTGTCTGTCATACACATTACTAAGGGAAGTCAGGACAATAACTGACAACAGGAGCCTGGAGGCATAAACTGAAGCAGAGACCTTGGAGGAACACTTCTTGCTGGCTTGTTTGCTCAGTTTGCTTTCTTATATAATCCCAAGACCACCTACTAAGAAATGACACCTCCCAAAGTGGACAGGGCCTCTTACATCAATTATTGATCAAGAAAAAAATTTCCACACTCTTGTCTACATGTCAATAAATTGAAAGCAGTTTCTTAGCTGAGTTTCATTCTTCCTAGATAATCTTAGCTTGTGTCAAGTTGACAAAAATTAACCAGCATAGAATTTAAAATTTAAGGGTTGTGATACATCAAATAGAAATAGAATTGATACTCCTCTAAGTGAAAAATGTAAACTACTAGGTCTTTTCCCTAGCCAACTATTGTAATAAGTTCTTCATGTGAATAGAAATATGAAATCATACAAGGAAGCCTATTGTTTTTCAATACCATTGAACTCAGCAATAGCAGCTAAGAACATTTGTTAGAGGGGAATGTGAGTTCTGGCTGCTTCTCCCTGGCTGAATGATGTGTCAAGTTGCTTAAATTATTAAAACTATGTTTGCTGTTTGAACATAAATGCTAGCCATTGATATCAGAGAAGATAAAAGCACCACAGTGCAGTTATAATGATCCTGTTACTGTTGACAATAGCACATCCATAGGAGTCTTCAGTGTGAACAATTGTTTAAGAGAAGAAAATTTTATTTTAAAAAATGAAAAGAACAGG